AACATATACGTATAATATTATGCAAACTTCTCAGAACCTAATCTCTGAAGAGTTTACTGGCCGTTCATTTTACCATTCACTAAATGGTGATAGTATTACGGGGCTATTGTGCAATTTTATGGTTGTATGACCTCAAGCCTCGGGACAGATTTATATACACAATGCATGTCAATTCTAATTAGTTTAATGAATGTTTAATATATCTAAATGTACCATTATTCAATTTAGTTACAAATTATTCAAATTCTATTAAATCGTTTTACACGTTTTTGATTATTTTGCATTTACATGAAATTATAAACACTGAACTATAATAAGCTTATGTCTACAATAATATTTTCATTGTTTACTGTCAAAATATTCTCTGTGGAAATACAACACTACAAATGTGTTACAGCTACGAATTCTTATGATAGTGGCTAATGTAGATGAGATGACACTCACTGTTTTGTGACCAAAACTAAATTTTATGTGCGTATAAGCTAGTTAGTTCAAAGTGGTATAATAAATTTGATAAAAATAGAATGTTAAGTCTTATATTCTCCAATGAATTACAGATTTGAATTTTATTATATAACAGCAATATCTACAATACGTTTTTTTATATTTGTTTCATTATTGAAATGAATTAATCCGCGGTTTCCAATATGTGCTTCGCAACCCCTCAGGCGGCGCCAGGCTGTTCTAAGGGGGGCGCGCACACCTGTTCCAGAATACTATTGTCAAAAATACCAAAATTTTGAAATGTTTTAAAAAAATAAACAAAAAATAAGTTTTTATGCTTTTTTTACATAATATGCATATTATGTGTAACCTGATATCTGTTGAGTCTTTATAACAATTATTTTTATTAGAGCAAGGGTCGCCGTGCAATAAAGGTTGGAAGCCACTATTATATATTCTTAAGTGAGTTTGATACTAAATATCAATATTATTTTTAACTTCCCCTAGGATAATTATAGTAAGGGTCGAAAATCGAAAATGAAAATTTTTGCATATCTTCACGTTTTGAATATTT